CAGTGTAATTGGCAGGTAAGTCGTAGTTACACCGTACTGCGTAGGGACTGTAGACAAGAAAGTCTGTATCTTTGCGTTCAGACAGAAACTCCTCTGGTATATACACGTACATATTTGTCAGGGTGGTGGGTGAAACTTCCCGTGGAAGCCCCGATACCCGCGGCTGATTGTGCTCCTGCTCGCTTTTCCCTGTCCACCCCCAAGAAATCTCTTCTGGGCCGTTCTTGTCAGGGACAGGGCTTGGCCGTTGCAAGAGCAGCTCTGGGCCTCTGTGGTGGACTGTGCTGGTGGTCACTGCTGGGGTCTGCTGGCGGTCACTGCTGGGGTCTGCTGGCCGTCACTACTGGGGTCTGCTGGCCGTCACTGCTGGGGTCTGCTGGCGGTCACTGCTGGGGTCTGCTGGCGGTCACTGCTGGGATCTGCTGACCGTCACTGCTGGGGTCTGCTGACCATCACTGCTGGGGTCTGCTGGTGGTCACTGCTGGGGTCTGCTGGCGGTCACTGCTGGGGTCTGCTGGTGGTCACTGCTGGGGTCTGCTGGCCGTCACTGCTGGGGTCTGCTGGCGGTCACTGCTGGGGTCTGCTGGCGGTCACTGCTGGGGTCTGCTGGCCGTCACTGCTGGGGTCTGCTGGCGGTCACTGCTGGGGTCTGCTGGCCGTCACTGCTGGGGTCTGCTGGCGGTCACTGCTGGGGTCTGCTGGCCGTCACTGCTGGGGTCTGCTGGCGGTCACTGCTGGGGTCTGCTGGCGGTCACTGCTGGGGTCTGCTGGCCGTCACTGCTGGGGTCTGCTGGCGGTCACTGCTGGGGTCTGCTGGCCGTCACTGCTGGGGTCTGCTGGCGGTCACTGCTGGGGTCTGCTGGCGGTCACTGCTGGGGTCTGCTGGCCGTCACTGCTGGGGTCTGCTGGCGGTCACTGCTGGGGTCTGCTGGCGGTCACTGCTGGGGTCTGCTGGCCGTCACTGCTGGGGTCTGCTGGCGGTCACTGCTGGGGTCTGCTGGCGGTCACTGCTGGGGTCTGCTGGCGGTCACTGCTGGGGTCTGCTGGCGGTCACTGCTGGGGTCTGCTGGTGGTCACTGCTGGGGTCTGCTGACCATCACTGCTGGGGTCTGCTGGCCATCACTGCGGGGGTCTGCTGGCGGTCACTGCTGGGGTCTGCTGGCTGTCACTACTGAGGTCTGCTAGTGGTCACTGCTGGGGTCTGCTGGCTGTCACTGCTGGGGTCTGCTGGTGGTCACTGCTGGGGTCTGCTGGTGGTCACTGCTGGGGTCTGGTGGTCACTGCTGGGGTCTGCTGGCGGTCACTGCTGGGGTCTGCTGGTGGTCACTGCTGGGGTCTGCTGGCGGTCACTGCTGGGGTCTGCTGGCCGTCACTGCTGGGGTCTGCTGGCCGTCACTGCTGGGGTCTGCTGGCTGTCACTGCTGGGGTCTGGTGGTCACTGCTGGGGTCTGCTGGCCGTCACTGCTGGGGTCTGCTGGCCGTCACTGCTGGGGTCTGCTGGCCGTCACTGCTGGGGTCTGCTGGCCGTCACTGCTGGGGTCTGCTGGCGGTCACTGCTGGGGTCTGCCTGCAGGTCTCCCCATCCTTCTCTGTCCTGTCGCCTGCGCTAGTTCAGGTAGGGTGCTGGGTGCCCTCCACCTTTCGGGCCGGTATGTGGCCCGAAGTCCACAGTTGCCTTTCCGGTGGTGACGTGTGCGTTGTCCACGCTGAGCCGCTCCTCCGCCCTTCCAGGGGTGGCTGTTTATCGTCATGTGTGTCCTAGAGCGGGCATAGGCTCACCGCCCGGGCCCCAGCCTGCCCCGGGACGCCGTGAGCCGTGGCCCGGACCCCTTCTCTGGGACTCGGGGGCCCGGGGGTGAGGGTGGGCTGATGCCGGCCTTTGCCCCTGACAGGAGAGCTGCTGGATGGGCAGAGGGGCCTGGTGCCCTCCAACTTCGTGGACTTCATCCAGGATAACGAGTCGCGGCTGGCGGGCACTCTGGGAAGCGAGCAGGACCAGAACATCATCAACCATGCGGGCCTCGGCCTGGAGGACGGACACATCCTCACCCTCCACTCCCCGACCCAGGTGGGCCCGGCCGTCACCGACAACGTCGGGGGGACGCTGGACGTGAGCATCGACGACATCGGAGAAGACACCGTGCCTTACCCCAGAAAAATCACCCTCATCAAGCAGCTGGCCAAAAGCGTCATTGTGGGCTGGGAGCCGCCGGCCGTGCCGCCCGGCTGGGGCACCGTGAGCAGCTACAGCGTGCTGGTGGACAAGGAGCCCCGCCTGAGCCTCACCCTGGGCAGCAGGACCAAGGCCCTCATCGAGAAGCTGAACACGGCCGCCTGCACCTACCGCATCTCGGTGCAGTGCGTGACCAGCAGGGGCCGCTCGGACGAGCTGCAGTGCACCCTGCTGGTGGGCAAGGACGTGGTGGTGGCCCCCTCGCAGCTGCGCGTGGACAACATCACGCAGATCTCCGCCCAGCTCTCCTGGCTGCCCACCAACAGCAACTACAGCCACGTCATCTTCCTCGATGAGGAGGAGCTGGACATCGTCCGGGCGGCCAGGTATAAGTACCAGCTCTTCAACCTCAGGCCCAACGTGGCCTACAAGGTGCGGGTGCTGGCCAAGCCCCACCAGATGCCCTGGCAGCTGCCTCTGGAGCAGAGGGAGAAGAAAGAGGCCTTTGTGGAGTTCTCCACACTGCCCGCAGGTGAGCCAGACCCCGCCTGGTCCCAGGGGAAAAGGCACCCAGGGGTCCTGCTGCCGGCGGGGAGCGGAGCGGCCAGCAGAGGCGGCTCCCCCCGGCAGCAGCCACGCGTGGGAGGATCGTAGTCCGAGGCTGGCCTGGGAAAGCACAAGACCCTACCTGAAAAGTGAAGTGAAATGGCTGTGAGCGTGGGTCGCGTGGCAGCGGCCCCCACGCCCCTGAGTCACCACGAAAGCCCAGCGCGGCCCCGGGCCGTGCCGCTGGCCGTGTCCCCAGCCTGCCTCTGCCCGAGCCTCACCCGTGGATTCCGAGAGGCGGAGGAGGACCTCGCGTGGTTCCACACAGCGGAAGCACCCAGCACTGCTGACCGGCTCCTGTCTTTTGGTTGTAAATAAGGACCTAGGGCCGGGGCCGGGGTGAGTGAGAGGCTGTGTAGACGGCGCTCCGGGTCCTGGGCACGGCGGGAGACGGGGTTCCTCCAGCCCGTCTCCCTTGGTTCCCAGACTGCAACCCGTTAGAGGTGACTGGCTCCTGGCAACAGGACAGCCTGCTGGCCATGCCATCTCGACGGACAGGCTCCAGGGCTGTAGGTGGGGGCTGCCCCTGGCCCTCCTGGGCCCGCGGGTGGGCGGCGGTGCCTGCGCATGGCAGGTTCCTGACATGAGGACGGCCCGTGAACACCAGCTCCAGTGGTCACCCCCCCCTCCTCCCTCCTCCCCCCTCCTCCCCCCTCCCCCTCCTCCCCCTCTCCCTCCTCCCTCCTCCCCCTCCCCTTCCTCCCCCTCCTCCCTCCTCCCCCTCCCTTCCCCCTCCTCACCCTCCCCTCCCCTCCTCCTCCTCTCCCTCCCCTCCCCTCCCCCTCCTCCTCCCCTTTTGGTCCCCCTCCCCCTCCTCCCCCTCCCTCTCCCCCCTTCCCCCTCCTCCCCCTTCCCCCTCCTCCCCCTCCTCCATCCTCCCCCTCCTCCCCCTCCCCTCCCCCCTCCCTCCTCCCCTCCTCCTCCCTCCTCCCCCTCCCCTCCCCTCCCCCTCCTCACCCTTCTCCTCCTCCCCTTTCGGTCCTCCTCCCCCTCCTCCCCCTCCCCCTCCCTCTCCCCCCCTTCCCCCTCCTCCTCCTCCTCCCTCCCCGTCCCCGTCCTTCTGGCTACTGAAGATAAAATTATGGAGGAATTATGTGCTATTTCTCCATTTACTCTGGTGCTAGTTGTAGGAATGACAAATGTCCTTTGTCTCTCCTACCCCAGTGTGGGCAGAGTGTTTGATCGTGAGTGAAGGGGTCAAGTGGCATTTGCCCGTCTGCCAAGTCACAGTGAGCCCCTTTCTTGACCAAGAGAAGCACCTGCTTTTGTGATGTAACGTGACCTCCCATCAGGACTGGACTCCGCCTAGATCTGATGTGTTGCCTTTCTTTCTGGCAGCACTGAGATTTGAACTCAGGACTTTGTGCTTGCCAAGACCAGCACTACAGTACTGAGCCGTGCTCTGTTTTTTCACTGGTTACTTTTCGGCGGGGTCTTGGCTCTCCCGGTTCACACCTGAGCTGAGATCCACTTGACATGAGGTGCCCGTCCGCTGGCATCACAGATGTGTGCCACGGTGCCCGGCTGCCCCCAGGTGTTCACAGTGGGATGTGGTGGTGATGGTAGTGGTGATGGTGGTGATGGTGGTGATGGTGGTGGTGGTGATGGTGGTGGTGGTGGTGATGGTAATGATGGTGGTGATGGTGGTGGTGATGGTGATGGTGATGATGGTGGTGATGGTGGTGGTGGTGATGATGGTGATGGTGGTGGTGATGGTGATGGTGATGATGGTGGTGATGGTGTTGGTGATGGTGGTGATGGTGATGATGGTGGTGATGTTGATGATGGTGGTGATGATGATGGTGGTGATGATGATGGTGATGATGGTGATGATGGTAGTGGTGATGGTGGTGGTGATGTTGATGATGGTGGTGATGGTGATGATGGTAGTGGTGATGATGGTGGTGATGATGATGGTGGTGATGGTGATGATGGTAGTGATGGTGATGATGGTGATGATGGTGGTGATGGTGATGGTGGTGATGGTGGTGGTGGTGATGGTGATGGTGGTGATGGTGGTGATGGTGATGATGGTGATGATGGTGGTGATGGTGATGGTGGTGGTGATGGTGGTGGTGGTGGTGATGGTAATGATGGTGGTGATGGTGATGGTGATGGTGGTGATGGTGATGATGGTGGTGATGTTGATGATGATGGTGGTGATGGTGATGATGGTAGTGGTGATGGTGGTGGTGATGTTGATGATGGTGGTGATGGTGATGATGGTAGTGATGGTGATGATGGTAGTGGTGATGATGGTGGTGATGATGATGGTGGTGATGGTGATGATGGTAGTGGTGATGGTGATGATGGTGGTGATGGTGATGGTGGTGCCCAGCCTGGGGAGCTCGAGGCCCAACTCCTCAAGGCACAGGCACACTCCTTCCAAAAGAAAGTGACCTGTAATCTCCAACCACAGGCGTTGTGGAGCTCCACTCCAGGTCTGGAGGAAAGGGAGGTACCGACGGGTGATGTGGCCCCTTCCTACCTGTCACCTGAATTAGTGCTCGAGATGCCCTCTCTTGCAGGCAGGCTTGGGAACGAGGAGACACGGTAGCCACGTCACTGTGACTGTGTGGCGCTCGGCTCCCGGGCAGACGGCTCCACCGCCTCTTGGTGTTGGTGTTGCCAAAATCCCCCCCCCCCCCCCCCGGTCTCTCGGTGCTGCCGAATCCCCGTGGTAAGATGCACCGTGTGAAGTCCAGGCTTGCTGGCTCTGGACTCTGATGAAGATGGAGAGAGAGGAGGAAGAAGAGGAGATGGGGAGAGAAAGGAGGAAGACAGAGTGGGAAGGAGAAGAGGGAGCCAGCCTCCCTGGACCCTCCTCAGGCCGGCCCTGGCGGCTGCCTCCTGGTGCCCCGGCAGAGGCCCGTGCGCCGCCCCCTGCCTGAGAACAGGCGCGGAGGTGGCTCCCCGGCGTAGATCCTGGAAAAGAGCGAAGCAGCCCACGGCTCAGGCGCCGCGTCGTCTCCCGGGGCTTGTGCGCGCCCGCCGTCTCTGCCGTCCTTCCTCCCTGCCCTCCCTGCCGACTTCCTTCCAGGGCTGGGCTGTTTCCACGGTCCACCGTGGCACAAGGCCCAGCCCTGAGTGCTCCACTCCTCTGTCCCTCCCAGGCCCTCCGGCCCCCCCGCAAGACGTCGCCGTCCACGCCGGGCCCACGGCGGCTGCCGTCCAGGTCTCCTGGAAGCCGCCTGCACTGACTCCCGCCGGGCTGTCCAACGGGGCAAACGTCACCGGCTATGGCGTCTATGCCAAAGGGCAGAGGGTGAGTTGATGGGAGTGGGGGGCTGAGGCTCGGGCGCCTGGGTCAGCCGTGGTTGTGCCCGCCCAAGGCCTTCTCCCCCAGGGGCGGGCGGGTGAGGACGCAGCCACGCGGGTCCTCCCCCTCCCCTGACCTGCACGGCCCAGAAAGGCCCCGTCTGAGCCCCAGATGGCCGACTACCGGCCTACGGGGCCGTGGCGAATCCTCGTGGGAAATCCCGCGGGATCCACACCTTCCCCGGTGACCAGATGTGGGCTCCCTGTCTTGGCACGCAACGTGGGGGTCTGGAGGGGGGAGTCTGCAGCCTCCCTCCTCGGTGGGCAGAGCCTCTGGGTACCCTGCCGTGGGCTCCTGAGCGAGTCCTCGGGGCCCCTCGCGAGGCGGGGAGCGGGGCGCAGAGGGCACAGAGGCTTGGGCAGCCGCCAACCCCTCTCCTGCGATGCCCCTCCTCCCCAGGTGGCCGAGGTCATCTTCCCGGTGGCAGACTGCGCGGCGGTGGAGGTCCTGCGGCTGCAGAGCCTGGAGGCCAGCGCCGTGACCGTGCGCACGCTCTCCGTGCAGGGCGAGTCCATGGACTCAGTGCCCGCGGCCGTGCCCCCCGGCCTCCTGGTACCTCCGGCCCCCCACCCGAGGACTGCCCCCCCACCAAAGCCATTAGCAACCGCCCCCGACACCAAAGACAAGCACCCGGGGCCTCACGCCAAGGCCGACGCGTCCTGGGAGCAGAGCCGGGCGCCGGCCCCGCCGCACCGGCACACGCTGGAGCCGCCGGGCCTGCAGGGCCCCGAGCCCGGGAGGAGGTCACCCTCGCCCAGCCGGATCCTCCCGCAGCCCCAGGGAGCGCCCGTGTCCACCACCGTGGCCAAGGCCATGGCCCGAGAGGCCGCACAGAGGGTGGCAGAGAGCTGCCGGGTGAGCCGCCGCTCCCACCCCGCGTCCTGAGCCCCCTCACACGCAGGCGCGCACACATGCACGCGCACCGGGCTGCACGCGTGGACACCAGCAGGTCTGTGCACACGGAGATAGATCAGTCGACACAGACCCCTTCATGTGAAGATCTCCACGCGCTGTCCCGGGGCGAGGCCCCCACGCTTGCTGTAGGCGCGGCCCCTGGGGCTCCCTGTCCCTGTCCCTGTCCCTGTCCCGTAGCACCGGGGCTGAGCAGGACCCTGGGGCTGGTGGCATCTCCTCCACCCACTCCCAGCTTACCTCCTCCCCTTCTCTTCCCAAGTTAGAGAAAAGGAGCCTCTTCCTGGATCGGGGAGACGCGGGGCAGGATGCCAACTCGGACGAAGAAGACGGCTACGCCTCCCCCAAGGTCAAGAGGAGAGGCGCGTCGGTGGACGACTTCCTGAGGGGGTCGGAGCTGGGCAAGCAGGTGAGCGGGCACCGGGCCTCGGTGGCCTCCGCCGAGGGACAAGAACATTCCGCCCAGAGCCTCCCGGTGGGGAGGCCTGTCCTCACCTCCCCTGCCCGAGCTGGCCCAAGCCAGCCCCACGTCCGGCCTCCCCACGTCCAGCCTCCCCACGTCCAGCCTCCCCTCCAGCCTCCCCACGTCCAGCCTCCCCTCCCGCCTCCCCACGTCCAGCCTCCCACGTCCAGCCTCCCCTCCCACCTCCCCACGTCCAGCCTCCCACGTCCAGCCTCCCCTCCCACCTCCCCACGTCCAGCCTCCCACGTCCAGCCTCCCCTCCCACCTCCCCATGTCCAGCCTCCCACGTCCAGCCTCCCCTCCCACCTCCCCATGTCCAGCCTCCCACGTCCAGCCTCCCCACGTCCAGCCTCCCCACGTCCAGCCTCCCCTCCAGCCTCCCCACGTCCAGCCTCCCCACGTCCAGCCTCCCCATGTCCAGCCTCCCCTCCCGCCTCCCCACATCCAGCCTCCCCACGTCCAGCCTCCCCTCCAGCCTCCCGATGTCCAGCCTCCTCTCCCACCTCCCCATGTCCAGCCTCCCCACGTCCAGCCTCCCCACATCCAGCCTCCCCTCCAGCCTCCCCTCCAGCCTCCCCACATCCAGCCTCCCCACATCCAGCCTCCCCTCCAGCCTCCCCTCCAGCCTCCCCATCTCCAACCTCCCCATGTCCAGCCTCCTCACGTCCAGCCTCCTCTCCCGATCCCCCACGGTGAGGCCTCCAGGCCTGCAGCCTCATGGGCTGGCAAAGGAGGGGGGCTGGGACCCCCTGGAGGGGCGGGGTTGAGGGAGCCTCCCGTCCGTGTGCCCGGCTCTCCACAGCCCCCCTGCTGCCATGGAGATGACTACCACACGGAGAGCAGCCGGGGCTCCGACCTCTCGGACATCATGGAGGAGGATGAGGAGGAGCTGTACTCTGAGATGCAGCCGGAGGACGGAGGCCGGCGGAGGCCCAGCGGTACCTCCCACAATGCCCTCAAGGTGAGCGCCGGGCACTGGCACGGGCGCCCTTGCGCGGTGCCCGCCAGCGCGGCTCCTCCCAGGCCCTCTCTCGGGCTGGCTCCACATTGGCCTCCCCTGGGGGACCCTGCACGGACGCAGGGACCACGCAGGCCCCCATGATGCCTCAGGGACGGGAAGCCTCCCAGGCAGCTGGGGAAGGGCTGTGGAGTTGTCGGGTGAAGAGGGCCCAGGGAGGAAGGGTGCCCCGAGGGCACGCAGCTGGTCACCCAGTCGGTCATGCAGCTGGTCACGCAGCTGGGCACGCAGCCGGTCACACAGCTGGGCACGTAGCCAGTCACACAGCTGGTCATGCAGCCGGTCATGCAGCTGGTCACACAGCTGGTCACGCAGCAGGGCACGCAGCCAGTCACGCAGCTGGGCACGCAGCCAGTCACACAGCTGGTCACGCAGCCAGTCATGCAGCTGGTCACGTAGCAGGGCACACAGCCGGTCACGCAGCTGGGCACGCAGCCAGTCAAACAGCTGGGCACGCAGCCAGTCACACAGCTGGTCACACAGCTGGTCATGCAGCTGGTCACACAGCTGGTCACGCAGCTGGGCATGCAGCCGGTCACGCAGCTGTGCATCAGAACAGAAGGCGGGGGGCCGAGGACGCCCAGCCCAGGGTCCCACAGCTGACTTCTGCGCTCCTTGCCGAGGCCACGGTGGAACCTTGGGGAATTCTTACCCCACAGAACCTTCCAGATCCCTCACAGTCCTGACTGGCTGCGGCCTGTGCCGTTCCCCAGCCCCCAGTCTCGGGGGTCACCTCACGTGCAGGGTCTGATCTGAGGCCCCGTGAGCCCCAAGCTGTGCCCTAGAGCAGAGCCCCCAGAGTGCCTTTGATGGGGCACATAGCTGCTGCTCACCTTCCAGACTCTTCTCCTGGGGTGGAGGAAGATGCTGGAAGGCTGACTCCTCATCACTGCCTAGGGGCCGATAGGAAGGGGCGGCCTGTCCCATGAGGAGGCTCGCAGGGCGGTGAGGTGCTGGCGAAGCTCCCGCATCCAGCCCCCCACCCTCACCCCTCAGACCCAGCAGGGTGGGCGTCCACGTGCAGGGTGACCAGGGCCATGGGCTCTGAGGTGCTCCTGGATTTTAAAAAGCAGGGCTTTGACATGCCGTCCTGGTTTTCTAGACTCTCCCTGGAAAGGGCCAGAGGACAAATAGTCTAGAATGTGGCACCGGAGCAGGAGGGGTTGGCAGTTAGCAGAGATCACACTCACCTCTGCCTGAGTGGGGCCCGGCCCACGCACATGGGGAGGTGCTGCCCGCCCGTGCCCCCCCCCCCCGCCGTGAGGACACCGCTGAGACACAAGGGTGCAAGCAGGGCCAGGCAACGTCACAGCTCATGTTGGCCAAGTAGCAAGAAGTGACTTGCCAGGGTGTTGCCTGCCTGGAGAAGGGGCAGAGTGTGCCCCGTGCTCAGGAGCACTGAGCAGTGTGGAGAGCCAAGTCACCCCAGACTCCCTGATATCCGTGATGCCAAGTCATCCCAGACACAGCTCACACCGTGACGCAGGGTCATCCCAGACGCAGCTCACACCGTGATGCAGAGTCATCCCAGACAAACCACACACCCGTGATGCAGTCATCCAAGACACAGCTCACACCGTGATGCAGAGTCATCCCAGACACAGCTCACACCGTGATGCAGGGTCATCCCAGACACAGCTCACACCGTGATGCAGGGTCATCCCAGACACAGCTCACACCGTGATGCAGGGTCATCCCAGACACAGCTCACACCGTGATGCAGGGTCATCCCAGACACAGCTCACACCGTGATGCAGGGTCATCCCAGACACAGCTCACACCGTGATGCAGGGTCATCCCAGACACAGCTCACACCGTGATGCAGGGTCATCCCAGACACAGCTCACACCGTGATGCAGGGTCATCCCAGACACAGCTCACACCGTGATGCAGGGTCATCCCAGACACAGCTCACACCGTGATGCAGGGTCATCCCAGACACAGCTCACACCCGTGATGCAGGGTCATCCCAGACACAGCTCACACCGTGATGCTGAATCATCCCAGACACAGCTCACACCGGGATGCAGAGTCATCCCAGACACAGCTTACACCCATGATGCAGAGTCATCCCAGACACAGCTCACACCGTGATGCAAAATCATCCCAGACACAGTTCACACCGTGATGCAGGGTCATCCCAGACACAGCTCACACCCGTGATGCAGTCATCCCAGATGCAGCTCACACCCTGATGCAGAGTCATCCCAGACTCAGCTCACACCACGATGCAGGGTCATCCAAGACACAGCTCACACCATGATGCAGGGTCATCCCAGACACAGCTCACACCATGATTCAGAGTCATCCCAGACACAGCTCACACTGTGATGCAGAGTCATCCCAGACATAGCTCACAACGTGATGCAGGGTCATCCCAGACACAGTTCACACCCGTGATGCAGTCATCCCAGACGCAGCTCACACCGTGATGCAGTCATCCCAGACACACCTCACACTGTGATGCAGGGTCATCCGACACAGCTCACACCGTGATGCAGAGTCATCCCAGACGCAGCTCACACCGTGATGCAGAGTCATCCCAGACACAGCTCACACCATGATGCAGGGTCATCCCAGACACAGCTCACACCGTGATGCAGAGTCATCCCAGACTCAGTTCACACCGTGATGCAGGGTCATCCCAGACACAGCTCACACCGTGATGCAGAGTCATCCCAGACTCAGCTCACACTGTGATGCAGTCATCCCAAACACAGCTCACACCATGATGCAGAGTCATCCAAGACACAGCTCACACCGTGATGCAGGGTCATCCCAGACACAGCTCACACCGTGATGCAGAGTCATCCCAGACACAGTTCACACCCGTGATGCAGGGACATCCCAGACACAGCTCACACCGTGATGCAGGGTCATCCCAGACACAGTTCACACCCGTGATGCAGAGTCATCCCAGACACAGCTCACACCGTGATGCAGGGTCATCCCAGACACAGCTCACACCGTGATGCAGGGTCATCCCAGACAGCTCACACCGTGATGCAGGGTCATCCCAGACAGCTCACACCGTGATGCAGAGTCATCCCAGACACACCGCACACCGTGATGCAGAATCATCGCAGACACAGCTCACACCATGATGCAGGGTCATCCCAGACACAGTTCACACCTGTGATTCAGTCATCCCAGACACAGCTCCCACCGTGATGTCTGTCAGGGCACAGTTCAGGCAATGGAGCACAGGTCTGCACAGGGAGCCCTGGATGGGCGCGGCAGGCGGCCCCGCCCTGCCTGCCTCCAGGCTCGGGCCCTCCGGCCCTGGGTCCATCTGCATGGCATCTGTTCCTAACGCCCCGCTGGCTGTCCGTGTGCTGCCCCGCCTCCTGTAGGTGCCTCTCTGTGACCTGTGCTCCATCCCAGCCGCCACCCCATGGAATCTCGCGCCGGGACTAATTCTGTGTGTGTTTTCTCTCCTTCCTGGTCCGCCCGCCCACCCGCCTGCCTCATGTCTGGTCGCTCACTGCTCTCCCCCCGCCCTTAAGGAATGTTCTAAGTCCAGGAGCCTGGAGGGCGCTTTCCTGGAGCAGCCCGAGTTCCCCCAGCACCCCCACCGCAGTAAGCGGCTGTTCAGTATCCCCGAGGTAGCGGAGGAGGACGCGGAGCACGGGGAGCCACTGCTTAGGCAGGCCATGGGGGCCTCCCGCGCCAGGGCCCTGCTGGCCATGGGGCAGGGGTCCGGCCGGCCCTGCTGGGGGCACCCGGCCCCGCAGGGCTCCTGGATGCCAGCCAAGCACAGGGGCCAGGGGCCTGCCCACGCCGAGGACCTCCTGGAAGACAGAGGCTGCCGGTTCAGCCGCTCAGCCACCAGGAGCCCGGACAGCGGGCTGGACTGCGGCAGCGAGGAGGATGAGTCTTGGTTTAGTTTCAGGAGCGCCGTGGCCAAGTGCAGCCCGGGCCTCGGTCACTGTCCCTGTCGGCGAAGCCGGCAGCCTCCACTGGCGCGGCGGCCCACGCTGACGCGGCAGAGCAGCATTGAAGAGGATTTGGGGGAGCAGGTGGACCCCAGTGAGGTCATCAGAAGCGATGATGCCCTGCTCAGCCCGGAGAGGCCCCTGCCCCGGAGGTATGGCTGGGACGAGGCTACTGGCCACGAAGACTTTCGGGGTGTCTGGAGGAAAAGCCCAGCCATGCCCGACAGTAGGGCCGCTGACCGCCACGCCCAGCCTCCTCCCAGAGTTGCAGACGGCCCTTTGGTGTGTGACGTCATCTTCCTCTCCACCCACGCTTGCCAAACCAATCCGTTTTCCATCTCCCACCCTTTTTCCTTTGTCCATTCCGGGGCCTCTTCTCGGCCGGCTGTCCTCGGTTTCCCTGCACTTTTGATTTCTCAGTCCCTTTGCTTCTCAATCGCTTGACCACGCTGACGATTTCTTTTCTTTGCTTTAGAGAAGTAACTCCCCACCCTCAGATCAGTAACGATGATGTATGGCTGCTTCAATTCAAGGGCAACTGAATCTAAGTTTTAATTAAGGGTTAGCTGAACTACAAACACCCAAAAGTTTGGCAATATGCACAGTTTCCAAAATGGAAGGTTTTTAAGCAAAATTTTTATGGTGGTTGGATTATTGGAGGTCTCGCTCTCTGTCTCTGTCTCTGTTTCTCTCTGTCTCATTGTTTTGGAACTTTTAGTTGTTTTTTTTTTAGCCTTCGACCATAATTTTAAGAAAGAGGTCCTTTATTAAAGAAGCTCCTCATTTCTAAGGGGTTTTTTCCTGCTGGCCCCCCAGTTTCCAGAATGCATGTAGACACCCGTCTTTGCCTTGGTGTCCAGGTCTTCATCCATCGCTCCATTGTGTTTTCTTCAGAGTGCTCATCTCGCTATGCTGGGCATGGGAGCAGCACCGTGGTCCAGAGCCGCCACCGCTGGCCTGCGTCACAGGTGCCCTTTCCCCGCACCGGTGACCCGGGGCCGCTTCCCAGGAGCCAGAGGCTCCTTGCTGGTCCCAACCTCTAGGCCACTGAGAGGTGGGGATGCCCAGAAAGGCCCCCTGCCAGGCCCTGGCGTCCATGCGGGCCCGTGCGTGGCCACGCCTGCGGGAGTGTCCCCCGCTTGGGTTTTTGGGAGCCGGAAGGGGGCACTGCCGTGGGCTTCTTGTGGTGTGGCAGCTGGGGCAGGACGCACAGAGCCAGCAGAGGGCTGGCATTCGAGTGTGCAGGTGCCCCGCGCCAGACACACACCTGAACCATGTGACCCGCAGGGGGGCAGCAACACAGCGCCCCCACCCACGCATTTTTGTCTCCCCTGGCCCCCGCCGTGTGCCCCAGAGTGGCGCCGATGCGGGACCGGGAGCCCCCGGGGCCCAGTCTGTTTCTTCCCAGCCATTCAGCTAACCTTTCAGTTAAAAGCTAAGTTTAGTTGCCTTTCAAGCTTCTGCTTCCAGTCTGGATTGATTTGGCTGACTTATTCTTTCTCTCCGAAGGCCGAGGCAGACTCGTGACTGTGCTGTTCTGTCTCTAGATCTTAGGAAACACCGTGCTGGCTGGACGGGCAGACAGAGCGGATCACGAGGGCCGGAGGGCCTCCCACGGCAGCGCCGGCCCGCACAGGCCCCGGCCGGCGATGGCCCCCGCTCTCGGTGAGTGCCTGCTTCGTGTCTTACTCTTTCTTTCCAGCAGAGATTGTGCCTACTTAGTCTTCAGTCTACACACACCCCCCTTAGGAATAGCATTTTTACATAGAAAAAACTCTGAGTGGTTTCTGGCAAAAATAAGGCAAGGATGGCTTATGAAGGGAACAAAGCTTCTTGGTTTGGATTTCTCAGCATCTACTAGCCTCGTCGTGAACACCCACTCCCCAGCGTTGCCACCCAGACCGGTGTCACCGACTCCCCAGGCTCCCAGCCTGAGTGGAGGCGAGAGCTGGAGTGGCGGCGAGCCCCAACTATCCATTAAGTCCCCAGGGATGCAGAGCTGCTGGCACGCCCAAAGTGCAGTGGCTGGGGCCGTGTCACACAAGCGTTAAGGCCAGGTGGTCCCTGGGGGAAGCCCCTCTCCTCCACCCTCAGCATCACTCTAGCCCCCAACCTTTGCTCCCTGATCCTGGTGCTCCAAGCTCAGTTATCTAGTGGATCGAGCCGTGGTACTGTCACACGGCCACTGTGGCTGGTCGGTGCTCGGGTGTGGCCGAAGGTCAGGTCACGTTACAAGCGTCCCGTCATGAGGTGACAGCTCCAGATGGTGTCCTGCCCGACAGCAGGGCCTGTGAGTCAGCCTGAAGTAGACAGCATCATGCGTGAGAACATGCACACTACACACACACACACACACACACGATATCCCCCACTATGCACAGTGATACACAATATGCAAGTTTCCATATTCCACACACACCTTACATACAAGATGTACAGCATACACGCAACATACAAACGTATTTCACACTCCTGTATTTCACACACACACACGCCTTATGCATAAGATGTACATCATATACACAACACACAAGCAAGGCTGCAGGATAACCGTGAGCAGAAATAGCCTGACCACGCCCCCGTGACCACACCGGGCTCCTCGTTCAGGGCTGGGCTTCCAGTCTTGACCTCTGGAGCATGAATTTCCACCAGTACCTCAGGGCTCTGCAGGATACTTGGGCTTTCGTACCCCATGCCCTGTCCCGAGGATGCCCTCTTCCCGGAGCGAGGTGTGAGGAGCTGTTCCTGGCGGATGCTCAGCTCCAGGTCTGTGTGGACCTGGATTCCAAGCCTCCGCGCTGGTGAGTGCAGGGAGGAGCGGCCAGGCTCTGCCCTCCAGGCAGGCCTCCTGGCCAGGCGTGGTGTCCACGTAGGGGAAACACGAGTGTCCGGAAGAGGTATGTGCGGCACAGTCTCCCAGGACCTCAAACTGAACGTTGTGCGGTGACTCATTCCTGGCGCACTGGAGCCAAGGCTCTGGAGCCCACTTGCTGCCCGTGGAGCCGCCACACCAGCCGCCACTCGTGACTTTGCACGGCCCCAGACCCTGGCCCCGGCGCGAGCGGCCCCCGTGCACATGGATTGATTGTCACCAGCACCGCCGGGCTCTGCATTAGTGTCAACCCACATTTTGTTCCACAATTCTGGAAACCAAGGGTCTCCCGGGGAAAGCCAAGTTCCTGGAGAAAACAAATGTCTGGGCAAAGAACAGAACAGAACACAACCAAGTATGGATGACCAGACATCCTGAAGGTCCTCCATCCACAGTGGAAGCGGTTCACTGCATTTGAAAGGCACGGCTCCCAGTGTGTTTTATTTAGTTATTGGTTGGTTTATGTATTTGTGCCAGGGGTGGGGCTTGAACTCGGGGCTTGGGTGCTGTCCCTTAGCCTTTTCACTCAAGGCAAAAAGTGGTAGTGCTGGAGCTCTACCACGTGAGCCACATTTCCACTTCTGGCTTTTTGCTGATTTATTGGAAATAAGAGTCAGGAATCTGCCTGCCCAGCTGGCTTCAAACCCCGACCCTCCAATCTCAGCCTTCTGAATTGAAGGATTGTAGGGGTGAGCCACTAGCGCCTGGCACACCTGTGCTTCCTGGAGAGAGTGGGAGGGGCCAGGGCTGCCCCGCCCCCAGCCTTCCTGGCCTGACTCTGGCCTTGAGATCTGCTTGCGCGGTCAAGACGTTACCCCAGCCCCTGCACCTGCTGCCTGCCTCTACACCCCCCTCCCTGCCCCCCAAACACGTGCACACAGTCAGCCTGCACCACCTGCAAACAGAAAACGCTGGGAAAAGAACATCACCACACCGACCCTGTACAGACTGTTTTTCTGGTCACAATTCCCTAAGAACCTCACGGAACCACCACCCACCCAGCACCAACGTGGAGGGAAGGGCCGCAGGCGTCTGGAGATGGCTGAAGGCAGGCCGGACAGGTGGACGCTCTGGGCAACACAATGCGTTCTCCTCAGGCTCTTGAGCTCTCCTGCGTTTGCCGCCTGCCGGGGTTCCCGAACCCCATTCCTGCCCAAGTGGGGGACCGCAGGCCTCACCCATGACCCAGCGCACAGATCTGCTCATAGAACAGCGTGTCAAAAAGAGTCCTTTTTAGAAGCCGGGTCCTTCTAGAAGCGGACCTGAAGCCCACACCTGCTAGGAAGTCCTCGATCCAAAGCCGGGCGGAAGCCGCTGTGGTTCAGTGACTATGCCACGCTCAGCACACACGCATGTGAGGACACCAGGGTGTGCGAAGCATGGAAGTGCTCGAGCCTTGCACTCTGCGGGGTGAGGGCGGCTGCTGTGGAGGGTGTGTGCGTGTGTGTAACGTCCTGACCCCTGCAGGCTCGAATCTCTGCTCTGGCTGGCTCTCCCCAGGAGCCACCAGAGGAAGGCGGAGGGCCTGGGGTTCCTGCCGTGGGGCTGGCTCTGGGCCGGGCCGGGCCTGGGGCCGGGTTTCCGGTTTCAGCTCCTGGGATTCACCCCAAGCCCTCACATCTCTTTCCCACTCGTGTTACGCCAGAAAGAACAATGCGGCAGGTGAGCGCCGGGTCTACACCTGCTCCCTCAGCACGGGCGCCAGGGGGTCCTCAGGGTCACCTCCTCTCCGTTTTGCTGCCAGGTGAGCACACCCCGCAGGACCGCCTCTCTCCAGACTTCTACGAGGAGTCGGAAACCGACCCTGGTGCCGAGGACCTCCCGGCCCGCATCTTCGTGGCTCTGTTTGACTACGACCCGCTCACCATGTCCCCGAACCCCGACGCGGCCGAGGAGGAGCTGCCCTTCAAGGAAGGGCAGATCATCAAGGTGGGGCGCGGGGGCGGGGCCGTGGTGGACCGAGTCACAGCTCCGGGGTGCGGGGGCACGCGCACACACGCACTCAGGCCCACGCCACATCATGGGCCGCCCCGGGTCGGGCTGAGGGTGAACGAGGTCCAGGCCGCAGCCCCAGCGCGCTGGGCGCCTCCTGCGGGCCCACGGCAGCGCTGCCCGCGGGCTGTGTGATTAGCGACGGCCAGCCGCAGCGCCCGCTTCCCCGCGCCAGGTGTATGGCGATAAGGATGCGGATGGATTCTACCGGGGGGAGACGTGCTCGCGGCTCGGCCTCATCCCTTGTAACATGGTGTCCGAGATCCAGGCGGCCGACGAGGAGATGATGGAGCAGCTGCTGAGACAAGGTTTCCTCCCGCTGAACACGCCCGTGGAGAAAATTGGTGAGTGTGGCCCCGCGCCCCGGAGCAGCTGCCTCGCAGTGGGGGCCGGCCATGCGGGGCCGTGGGGGGCCCTGGGGGGCGTGGGGGGCTGTGGGGGGCCGTGCGGGGCCCTGGGGGGCCCTGGGGGCTGTGGGGGGCCCTGGGGGCTGTGGGGGGCCCTGGGGGGCCGTGGGGGGCCGTGGGGGGTGTGCAGGGCAGGGCCGGCTCTGGTGGGCGGGCTTTTGTTCCTTCAGGGTTTGCCTGTGGCTCCCCGGGAGCTGCCGTTTGAGCTGACCCCATCTGGGCTTCCTCTTTCTCCTTCACAGAGAGGAGCTGGCGCGGTGGCCGGCCCCACGCCTCATCAACGCGAAGAATGGTGGCCCTGTACGACTACGACCCCCGAGAGAGCTCCCCCAACGTGGACGTGGAGGTACCGGCCAGGCCACGGGGCCCAGAGGCTCACTCAGCGGGCCGTGGCCATGCCGGCCACGGCTGTAGATGGACACCCCGAGCCAGGCAGCCCCCCCACCCCAGCCACGGCCACGGCTGTCCCGCGTCACCTCAGGAGTTCAGGTGGCGCCACGTCTGCGGCCGAGCGCCGTGCGGGGTGGGCCGAGGGGCCTGACAGGTTTCGGCCTGTCCTGGCCGCGGTTGCAGACGTCTGTGGGGGTCTGGGACGGGCGCGCTGCCTCGCCCACAGGCTGTGCCGCGGCACTGTGGCCAGAGGACACCTGGGCTCCATGTCCACGGGTGGTGACACGGGTCACGGTAGGGAGGAGGTCCACAGGGCCAGTGGGTCAGAGCCACACAGCAAAGCGGGACGGACAGAGAGCACAGGGCGGGCAGACGTGCCGTCCAGGTCCCAGGGCCACCACGGTGCCCAGCGGCATCCTCCTCAGCGCCAGAGGCCCAGTCCACACGGCTCTCACGCCACGGGGGCCCGCGGCCCCTGCACGCTCACCAGCCGCCATTCCTGTTAGAACTCAAACCCTCTTTGAAAGCTATCCTCCACCGGGTTTCTGGCTCTCCCTTCTTGTAGGTTCCACAGTGTGGACTGTGTGGGGCGATTTCAGCCCCAGGACAGGGACTCACCACATCCAGCGTCGTCTGCCTATTCTGCAGGCTGGGGCCTGCCGGGGGCCATCCCAGAGAGATGGACATTGGCTGATAGTCAAGTCCATGTGGTTGTTTGTAAAACCGGAGAGCTGTGTTTATGGGGTGGTCCTTTAGAGAAAGGAATATTCCCCAATGTTCCAGGCTTTTAGGGTCAGCCAGGTGACCAGCTTCACAGTTACACTGCCAGTAGAAAATGGCAGAAACCTCGAATTTGGACCAGAAGGCAATAACTGTATGAAGTTTCTAGAAGGTCGTGGATAGAGCCATCCAGTTGCTTTTATCTGATCTAGTTCCAAAACCCGCTTGCCCGCGTGACTAAATGATCTTAATTTTCTGCCTGTCTCTGCAGGCCGAGCTTCCGTTTTGCACAGGAGATATTATTACAGTTTTTGGTGAGATCGACGAAGATGGATTTTATTACGTAAGTTTCTGATGTGGAGATGTGCTGTTTCAATCATGTTTTGTTTCTTAATTTTCAAACAGCTTGCAGAAAACTTTGACTAGCTTGCTCTCTTTCTCCTGAGGGTTTTTTGTTATTTCAGTCAGTACTGGGATTTGAACTCACGTCCTTGTGCTTGCTTGCTTAGGCAGGAAGTCTACCACCTGAGCCGTTGGCCATTCTTGCTTTAGCTATCTTTCAGATGGAGTCTTGGGCTTCTTTTGCTGGGTGGATCTGGACTGTGGCGTTCTTGCTTTGCAGCCGGTTAAGATGAAAGGCATACATTACCACACTAGCTTTGTTTCCCTGTTGCGCACCAGCATCCACCTCCCCGGGATGTAGGTCTCGGGGTCCCGGCTCTTTACCACCTGGCTCCCGACCTTCTCAAAGCCCTGTATTTAGAGAATACTCAGCCTCTATCACACATGTTGCTGATATATTTTTTTCTCCTGAAATTGTTGCCCAGATTTTAGCTTTTCTTTCACGTGTGCATTCCTTTGAGGCTCTTTTGTCTGATTAAGCCAAAGTTTTCAATCTGCATGTGTTCACACTTGATCACCCCCCAGGATTCTGGGGCACAGGAATTGGAATCCACTTGGAAGAAAAATGCCAATTATAAACTGTCTCCTCCTCAGGAAAGCTAAGAGGATAAATAGTTCTACTTGTCACCCTCCCGTGCTTTCAGGGGGAGCTGAACGGGCAGAAAGGCCTGGTACCTTCGAACTTCCTGGAAGAAGTGCCTGATGACGTGGAGGTGTATCTCTCCGACGCCCCATCCCACTACTCCCAAGACCCAGCCCTGCGCTCCAAGGCCAAACGGGTAAGTCAGCCTCCCTAGCGTCTGACCTCCGGCCCTGTGTGCCCCTCCCGTCCCCGTGCGGCCTCCTGCCCTGCGCCCCTCCCGTCCTGGTCTAAGCCGTATGTGGACATTCTCATGTCCTGGGTGTGGAGCAGACGGCCTGAGTTCTCCCTCTGTCCTTCCCCTAAGGGTTGGGCCTACTGAAGCCTAGAAGCCTAGCTCTAACCCCCAAGTCTGTTTTGCATGGAAGGGCCCCTCAGGTCTCCTCGGCCGGCCTTGCCTCCGAGGCTGTGGGCCCTCCACGCCAGAGGCCCAGGTCAGTCCAGGCAGAGCGAGACTCGGGCATGATGGCCACCGGCCCTCATTAGGGCCCTCTAGCGTACCCGCATCTGCCTTAGCGCCTCATCTTTACGTTACGCCATCTCCGCGAGTTCTTATCTGTTCTATTTTACGTATATATTTTTATTTCTTCGCTCATCTTGGACACAGAAGAAGAGCGTTCATTTCACACCTTAATCAGGCATGTAGCCGTCACGTAAGTGAGCAACTGAAGACACCTAGAGAGATACCGACTTAAGCTACCCTAAGCAGACCCATACGGCTGACTTAAGGCTCCACTGTGGGCTTAGAGAGAGAGCGAGAGAGAGAGAGAGAGAGAGAGAGAGAGAGAGAGAAGAAATATGTCTCAAAAAACCCATTGGACATGAAGTGCTAGTGAATAACTTGGTCTCAGTTGCAGAGCAACTGGATTCGTATGGAAACGGATCCTCCTTAAAACTCACTTCCTACTATTTCTATCAAGAGTATTTCAAAGGCAGCATTGAGAACATATTTCTTAATGAGCTGTTTGTTTACATAGAGAGCGTCCCGGTGTCTACTTTAATTAAAAGCTGCATATTGCATTGTTAACCACTCCTGGGAAAAAAGCACAACCTAATAAATGTTTACTTAACAATACATTTAAAAAACAACCTTATCGCTCAAGATGAAGCAGGCTAGTGACTAAAGGTGAGCAGGTGTCGGCTCCAAGGCGCGGGGCACCGGCCTGAGTACTGGGCCGCCGCGCCGCCACCTGGAGAGCGCCCAGGGCTCACCTCAAAGCACAGCTGCTTGGAGCGCGGGCTCGGCTCTGGTTTACCAATGCAATAGGATGTCCCAGGACAGGCAGCTCACACCCTGTGCCAGTGGGCGCAGGTGGTATCTTCAGGTGTGCTTCGGGATGCATTCCTAGGTGTTTTCCATTAGAATTTGACCTTGATTTCAAATCCAAGCAAGCTCGAAGCCCCTGGCTGCTTTTCCTTGGCAGCCCCAAGTGAAGGAACGCTCGCTTGACAAGGGCTTTGCTGTGGGGAGGTCCCCAGCCCCGGGAAGGATGTTACCTTGCCTCTGGCCCCAGGGGTCAGTAAATCTCCACCCCTCTGGGGCACTGGCTGAGTACCTCCGTGTGCCGGAGTAGAACATGTGCTGCCTGCTGGAGAAGATTCACTCTCCGTTATTTGGAAAGAATGGGAGCGTTCCATACGGGCCTCTGAGCTTTCTTCGATTGTAATTAAGGTTCATCTTAGTTTTTTTTGTTTTTTGTTTTTTCCTTTCAACCAGTGTGCCATCTCCCAAGTTTCTGTAGGATTCTAACGGCCCAAGAACGTATCCAACAGTGTCAGGCCCCCACACAACCAAGCAGTTCTGCTCGGGCGCCCTGCTTTAGTCTGAATTTGCACAGTAAATGGTGACCTGGCTTCGTTTGCCAAGCCATGCCCCCTGGCCCCCGTCCCCCCAAGACAAAGACACCGAGAGCACACGCGGCCAGGCCTCGCTCCGAGGCCCGTGGAGCGGGCGGCTCTGTGCTTGTCATGGCATGCTTTAAAATGCGAAAGAAGAAACGAACCCCTTTCCTTCCCTTTGCTGGTGGGAGACGGGGCGGCCCGCGTTTGCAGTGACCGCATACTCAATAAACTGTCACGTGTACCTACTAGGTTCCTCCCGAGGGTTCAGGGACAGCAAGGAGAGCTCCATCCCCCACAGCCCACCTCCATTCGGGGTCACCTACGTCATCTTTGGGTTCTGGTAGTCCTGGGAGAGGCAGGGAAATGTCCTCGAGGAGAAAGGGGCTGCTTTCCAAAGGGAAGGAGCTGCTGAAGCGGCTGGGCGCGGTGAAGTGAACGGCTCCCCTGCGTCCGGACGGCCTCCACACCTCTGAGATTTAATTCCAAACTAGGGCTTTCATGACTCAAGCACTTCCTAACACTCTCCTCCCCCGACACCACTAGAGCAATGCACTTTGCACTACTGCGAGACCGGAGGGGCCGTCCTCTCCCTCGGCGCTGCCAGGGCTGCGCGGCCCCGTCGGGTCAGGAGGCGGAGGGGCGTCTTGCCGGCCCGCGGCCAGGGCGCTCGTCACCCTCCTCTTTCAAATGCTTGCATCTTCATGCATTAACTTCATGTTGGTCTTGAAATTCCTAGTTTAATTCGCCTTGATGTTCTGCCTTATAATGCACAATGATTTGTACTGTCTAATAAAACACTGTGTGTACTTTGTATGTGTTGTGCATTCCTGGTCTTCCTCCTCACCGACACAGGGGTTTGACATCAGGTTGCCAGGCTGTGCATCTTACCATGAGGGTCTTCAGTTTTCAAAGCAAGCCAGGCAATACACAGAAAATGTTTACGTATTCAGCTGTACACAAGAAGAGAGCCAAGGAGAGAAAAGTAGCTTTGTTTCAAGTTTCAGTACTCCAACTAGCCAGAAAGCTGACTACTTCGCTTTTAGTGTTAGCATTTTGTGGCACACGCCTTTGTTATTGTCACGATGCCACACCCACACACACAGCACACAGTACAGACATCCCATAATGCACTCCCCACACCACTAACAGCCACATTTCCACCGCTTCCAAATGACCCACCCCGCTTATCACTGGCATTTGAACAAAAAAGTTGCTGGCAGATGTACTTGATGGTTTCTATTTTGTAATTCTTGTCCACTTGTAAATTGTTTCTACTCTTTATACTTTTCAGACTGCCTTTTTTTTTGTAATTTCTGGAAGGTTTATACATGAATGACAAATGCTTTCCCCAGTGTGTCTTTAAAAACTGTATTGTCAATTGTAATATAACTGTATGTGGTGGGTTTATTAAAAGGAAACTACTCAGTGTGACTACATACCGTGTGGGCGTGCGCATGTGTACAGTTCATGTATTTTCTAGAAATAAAATTTGTTATTTTATGCAATGTTCCTTTGTATGTTTATTTGAAATATTTTTGTGGTGCCAAGACAACTGGATTCATGAAAAACTTAGCAGCTCACCTTTTCTGCGACTATTTTCCCCTAAAATAATTCTAAATCATGCTGTGGCAGCCTCGGGTAAACAGAGGTCAAAGTCAAAGGTCAGCGGCACTTAGGGCTGTGAGGCCTGCAGGAAGAGGCTGAACACCGGCTGGGCTGCGACTCAGGAAGCTCCACGCTGACCGCCGTGCTTCTCCCTACAAAGCCTGTCCTTTCCAGTCCCCGGGGCACAAGCAGAAGGGAGGAAAGCCGCCCGCCTGGTGTCAGGAAGCAGTGTGCCCAGGGGGCCCGGGCTCAGATACGCCCTTCAAACAGTGCCTGAAACCGGACCCCAAGCCCGACCAGCTGTTGGCTCCGCAGTGGATCCAACGGGGATGAGGTTGGAGCCTGGCTGGAACACTGGCCCGCACTGATGGCCACAGGCTTGCACTGGACGCGGTGCCCAGGACCCCCTTGGGCCGGGGCTCCCCCCAGCAGTCTGCGTGTTCCCTGGGCCCCAGCAGCCCCTCTAGCTGTGTGAATTTCCAGTTGCGTGCCACGGCTCTAAGCCCTGTCTCTTCAAGGAGAATGAGGTTTTAATACCAGCTGCCCACTAGCCTTGGAATCCACAAAACACATCACATGAAATGTGACAGCCTCTAAGAGCCTTTATCAGCAACACGTTCACGCGGCGCCCCGAGACATGGCTTTCTCTTGCATTTCTTCTGATGCTTAGCAAGCAAGGGGAGCGAGCAGCTCTGGGTCCGCTGAGCCCCACCCAACATGCACAGCGCCGTCCGCTGTGAGGCCTGAGAGGACCACCAGAACCAGCACCCGGTGGTGCGGGGCAGTACACAGAGCGCGGGGCAGTGTGGACAATGGCTTTATTGCACTGCAGGGGATTACAGCTCCATTCCTGCAGTGTGAGTGTCCCGGGCAGGTGCAGGGTCTTCACTCAGCCCACGCTGCTCCTGCGAGGGCTGCTGGCAGCTGCAACGCTCCGACGTGAATGCTGCAGCGCTGGCCCTCGGCCGGACCCCCTCCCACCCTGCGAGCCCCAGCTCCTGCACAACTCTACCCTGAAGCCGCATTTTTCCTTGTTTGAGACAGAGTCTCGCTATGTAGCCCAGGCTGGCCTCCAACTCTAAGTCCTCCTGTCTCTGTCTCCCCAGTAATGGGATTACAGGCGTGGCCACCACACCTGGCAGTTTACTTTCCTAAGTGGAATCGTATCTTTTTCATCTGCTCTCCAGCAGCTTAAAAAATTAAGTGGAAAGAAAATACGTACTTTCAAAAAAGTAAAACTATACTGTTATTCAAGTCAAGTGACAGTCACTTTCATTATAAAACCTAGAATGTTCTGGATGCAAAATGAAACAGAGTAATGTGAATTTTGACTGTCATTACTGGCCTCTTATCAAAGAACCTTAAAATATTTCTTTGGGCAAAAATTTAAAACTTTCCAACAAGTTTTTAAACTTCTTTTTCTAACTCTCCTAAAGAAATAAAAAATAACCCCCCCCCTTACCATATGTATTAATGGTAGCTTTTATCATTAAAATATGATATAACCAATCAACATCTAGCCCCGACTGAGTGAGCACCTGCTTCATGCTTTTTCCTGTGTCTTGAAAATAAAGTTAACACTGCCCTGCTGGAAGCACACCTGCAAACCTGTGCTCCTCCGATACTTTAGGAAACTCTGCTTATAGAACAAAATGCGTTGGCCATCAAAACATACTTAAGAGAAATCAACAACCTAAAATATAAAACCTCAACTTCTACCTATACAATCAACAATCCGTTACTAGCAACATTACAAAACTCTGACTATCTCCGGTTCTCTTCCCAGGTTCCACCTAGAGACGACAGATAAAACATAAAGACCACCGCGGTGGCGGGTAAAACACACAGACCACCGACCGCGGTGGCTGGCGCGGCAGGGAGGCGGCGGTGGCGGGGTGCGGCAGGGGGCGGCGGTGGCGGGCGCAGCAGGGGGCGCCAGAGGGCGAGGTCAGAGGTAGTAGAGACGGTTGCACAGGGACAGGTTGGGCTCTCTGTGGATGCTCTGGCCCACAAGGAAGGCCAGCTTGTGCGCATACTGGCAAGGCGCGGGGACGCGGATGACACCCTGTGGTGGGAGAGGGGTGGTCACAGGGCGCTGCTCCACCCGCTAGTGGGTGGAGCAGGCTGTGTGGGCAGAGCCTCGGGGGACGCTCACCGGCCAGTTGTAGTAGATGTGGCAGAGCTTGT